TTCGAGAAGTACAAAGAGTACCTCTTGGGTGACTACTGCTATGGCCTCCGCTCTAGCGAAGACTCCGGCTCGCTAGTGCCGCCCTGGAGCTTGGCAACTTGGTGCTGAGCTATGAGCTCCTAAGAAAGCGAGAGGTCCGGTGGGAGACACACGCCCTTTGGCTATAGTCCTGCCGAACGGGGAGGCTTTGTGGTTTACAACCAGGGACATTGACGCGGACACTCCTAGGTTGGTGATTCCATGGTCACTATTTCAATACCTGGCGATGTCGCAAAGGCCTCTCAGTGGCTTTCAATCGTGGGGCAAGGTCGGCGTGGTGTACATCCGCCGTGTCGCACAAGACGTTATCCATGGAGCCCAACAGCGGAACTTCATGGACCGCATCAAGGAGGCGAACCTCGGGAACCCTTGGCTGTTGGACCTGAACTCCTACCACCCCGAGCGCTCAGATGCGGAAACACCTATGAAGCGCCTAAACGGGGGCGCACCGCCCAAACTTCAGCTTCCGGATCGAATTGAACGGCGAGGTGTTACCTGGACCCAAGAGGAGGTCGATGGTTGCCTCACCATGGAGCAGTTCCTCGACCCGGGCTCGTCTGATCCAAGTACAACGACCAGCAACGACGAGACCCTGGAGACCCCGAGTGCGGCAACAAAAGCGCCGGGTGCACCACCCCCCGAAGCATCCTCTGGGATGCCCTCCTCTACCGGACCGAGTTCTTCGACATCGCCTACTACCACCGCTGCCGGGCGGCCAGTCGACCTTGATGGACAAGAGGATTCTCCGGAAGGTCACACCTCGGTGCCTACGGTGACTAGTGAGCCGGCTGAGGGAAGAGGAGGAGGGGCAACCAGCACAGGCGCCTCTTTGCCCCCCACGAATGCCTCGAGGCATTCCGAGGTAGGCAGATATTTTCTTTAAAGGTGCACCGCCTGATGGCAAATGTCATCGGCGACCCGCCCGGAATTGCTGCTTGCAGCGAAAAGTGCTCAGTACAGGGAGCCCTTTGCGAACACTCTGATATCAGGGTGTTCCACCCCCCTTTGCTTTAAGTGAGTTTGAGAGTGCAAGCCTCGGCACATGAGACACTTCGACTGGTTCCAAAACGAAGAATAACGAAGACGTGCCTGTCCCCGTTTCTGCATGTTTTCGCTTACCATGTGACACTCACTGCTGCTTCGGTTCGGTTCGTGTTGGTTGTTCTTGTTTCGTTGTTTGGCGGCAAGGGCTGTACATGCC